GATGAATTTCTTCCCAGCCCCATAAGTTTCATGGGAAGCGGCAAAGCCGGGACACAAGGCAAAGAGGAATCACACGGATTCCAGAGGACACAGAAGGATGGTTTCAGCAAAATTTCAGGACAGCCTACACACTGAACATTAATTAGATGTCTTCTGAACATTTAGAAAAGGGAGAATATCATGGGCATTTGCACATCCTTTGTGCACACACTTTACCTCCTTTGCAGACAGGGCCCATCTGGGACATGTGATGCCCCCAGCATCTGTGGCGCCACCAACAACCAGGACACAGGAGACAGGTGACCCCACAGTCACTCTCCAGCCTCATAAGTAATTAAATGTTAATCCTGATTTTTAAAAAGGGTCACCATGGAGTTAGGCTTCCAGGGCCGTGTCCTGGGTGCCAACCGCTCGAACAAAATCCATAGCTAGAAACCAGACACTTAAAAAATGGGTAAGAAGGTAAATTTTATGTTCCATGCATTTTATCCCAATAAAAAAATTTTTGGTGGGGGAGGGGGGTTGGGGAGGTGGGGTTATGGACATTGGGGAGGGTATGTGCTATGGTGAGTGCTGTGAAGTGTGTAAACCTGGCGATTCACAGACCTGTACCCCTGGGGATAAAAATATATTATATGTTTATAAAAAATAAAATAAAATAAATTGACAACAGAGAAAAAACATTTTTTTTGGAAAAAAAACCCACTGCTGGAGAAAAGAGCAAGTGTGCTCTGGACAGACACTGGAACTGTGGGACATCCTTAGGCAAGGAGAGAAGGTGAGATTTCAGGTGGAAAACCTGTGATTCCGGATGAGAAACAGACAAGAATAGAGAGTGAGAGACTCTGGTGTGACGAGAACTGTAGTGAAAAATATCCAGAGGTTACAAGTGACCCTGACCTCAGCATCACCAGGAGTGTGCTGTGTTTGCCCACAGAAATGGAAGCTGACTTGGGACACATTAATAGAGACTGTGAATGGAAAAGAGACGGTAATTGGGCGCCAGGGGGGCTCAGTCGATGAAGCAGGAGGCTCATGATTTTGGCTCAATTCATGATCTCAGGGTCCTAGAACTGAGCCCCAAGTGGGAGTCCTTGCTCAGCCCAGAATCTGCTTAAGGATTCTTTCTCTCCCTCTGCATCAGTGTGCCCCACTCCCAACTCACACAGGTCCATGCTGTCTCTCTAAAAGTAAATAAATAAATCTTACCCCACCCCGCAAAAAAAAAAAAAAAAAAAAAAAAGGAAAGAGAAGGTGATCTTCTTCTAAGCTTGCCTCTTGCTATTAGAGCTCACCTGAACCTTGTACCCAGTTCTGGGTGTTATACTGACAAGCTGGTGGGTGCCCAGCGGTGGGACCAGGTTGGGAAGGGCCTGGACATCTCACAGAATGCTATGGTGGAAGGCTCCAGAAGACAGCTCAGTGGTCCAGAGGCTGGACAGCCTTGAGCATGTGAGTCTACCTTGCTGAGACCCTGTCTTCTCATCTTAAATGGGACTGCAGTGATTCCTACCAGGCAGGGTATTTGTGAATATTAAGTGGAATGATTCAGAAAAAGGTGTTAGCTCAGTGCCTGAGAGATGGTAGCACGTACTGAACCCTCAGTTATGTGGGAAGGAGAAGGAGGGACATGGCTGGTGACCCAGGGCTGGCAGAGGAACTAGGGACCTGCCGGGAAGCTCCTGGGCAGCCTTACCTCTGGGCATCTGTCCTGAACTTGTTCTGGCGTCACAAGAAAATTGGTCACCAAGAAGAACACGTTCTCTCCCTAGAAAGCAAGTGTCAGGGTTGGTCCCTGCTTCCCTCCCCCAAAAGGAGAGACCAGAACTGGCACCTCAGCTTGGGGGGAAAAGGGTCCTGGCCCAAACACATCATCAACTCTGCCCCAGGAAAGTGTCTCCAGGGAGGCCAGTTGAAGCAGTGATAAGAGGCTGGGGGCGGGGGGGGTTCTGGCCATTTTGAGAGCCCACCGCTGCCACTTTGAGACGAGTGTATTTTTCATGTTCATACTCATTCTCTCACCCAGAATTGTCCAAGCTCTTCCTGCTTCTAGGCACTGAAGATCCAGAGCTGAGCTGGACAGGGGGACCTGCCCACGTTAGGGGTAGTTTGACCCCTTCAATTGCATGCATGGTCAGGGACCAGGGGAGCAGGTGATGAGCTCCACCTGGGCAAAGGGTGGCTAACGACAAGTGGCTGACACCCAAGTGCTGCGTGTGTGAGCTCTGCAAGTTTGGGGCAATGCACACCCAGGAAGGAAAGCAGGTAGTGGGTATGACAGTGGTCAAGATCTGGACTTAGTGGCCACCACCATGGAAAGGGAGTCTTCCTAGAGTAGAAACAAGGGCTGGCAGGCTCTGACTGATATCGTAGGAAAGCTCAGGCTGGCTGCTGGGTGGCGTGCACTGGAGGACCAACTAGAAGATCATGGCCTCATCCAGGTATGACCCAGGCAGCAGTGAACACCGCTAGGAGAAAGAATGCACAGAAGGGAAGCACAGGTCCAGCTCTGGGCCTCACTGGATGAAAAGAGGCCACACCAGGAAAGGGAGATGATTTCTCTTTGGACATGATAGGTGTTCACCCAGGAGGCAGCTGCACTCGGGGGAGGTGGTCACTGGGGCTACAATTTCAGCATTGGCAGGATAAAGGTAGAAACCGAGGCTATGGACAATCTGGGTCGGAGAAGGAGCTGGAAGTGCTGCGTGGAAGGGACAGGAGGGGCACCTGACAGCAGTGCCCCAGGCCGGGGAGGGGAGCATTCAGGAAGCTCCAGACCCCGAGCCCCTGCCCACTAGGGGCTTCTCCTGCCCCACCCTCAAGCTCCAGCCTTGAGTTCCTAAATATTCCAGTCTTCCAGGGGCAGCCTTTGTAAAGGCAAGTTACTCCGGCCTGGCTTCCTGGTCTTTTTCCTTGTCCACCCGGAAACCTCTTACACATCCTGGAAAGCCTCACCCAGGTACAACTCCTCTGTAAGGCCCTTCCCAAGCCTGGCCCTATGAGGTGCCGGCGCCCCGCTCAGGCATCACACGCCCCTCATGCACACACTCACCGCAAGGGTGGTGTCAGAAGTGTCACTGCCTGGCAGCAGGACCAAGGCACCTACCTGTGGTGGCTTCACAAAGTCCGCCACGTCCCACAGCCGGTTACCCAGCTCCTTGATCTGAGTCACAGAAACCCCTTTGAGTTTGGTGATGACGGAAATCTGCGGGTCCAGATCTCGCTCCTGGTATCCTTTTTTGGCGAGGAGAGCCCACCTTAGGCAGAAGCGACAGGCAGTGTGGCCTTTCCCTGGTACACAGTGAGCAGTGGCCACACAGGCCCCACCCTCTCAGCCTTTCTCTTCACATACCCTCGGTGCTTCCAGTCCAGCATTTAGGGCCCCTGCCTCCCCTCCAGCCTCATTTCCCACCCAAACACCCTGCACAGGCAAGAAGCTCCAACCATGATTGGAGAGCCAGTGCCTTTCATGGGTGTCCCCTATCAGGCCCTCATGGGCTTAGAGATGCCCACTACCCGCTCCTTCACCAACCAACTCCCTCTCCCTGTCCTGGCTAGGCCCAACCCCTCCTTAAAGACTTCCCTGACCCAGCTAAAATTGGTGTCCCTATAAGGACCTTACTACTACAACTCTCCCAAGCATCAAGGACTATCTCCTGCCCCACCAGGGGCCTCCTGGGTATAGATGGAGACCCATCTTGCTTTGGCCCAGAGATCAATATGGGCCTGGAAACAAGGCCCAGGAAAGGAAGCAGGTGGGCACACAGGAGGACACAAGCACACAGCTTGCCCTTGTATCCACTGGTCTCTAGACAGAAAAAGATCCTCCCCTGTCCTAACCTGCTCCCCTCTGCTACCACCAGCTCAGCCCCTGAAGAGTCAAACAGTCAACCCTCAGCCCAGCAGGCCCAGTCATTATCCCCCCAGTCAAGCGTGGCCCAGGAGCCTTTCTCTTACCCCACCACGTAGGCCATGACCCCAAGCTGCAGCAGCCTCTGCAGGGCGCCCACCCGCCAATTCCTTGTTATCACATACTTCTCCGTTTTGTAATCCAGAAGCCCCCAGCCCGCCATGGCCCCTGGGGAGCCCATGCTTCCAGCTCCTGCCGGCTGCTGGAGCACATGAGTCAGCACAACAGCTGCAGCCACTGCTGAAGGAGGTACAGCAGCAGCCTACCCGGACCAGGCCAGCAAGCTATTAAAGGGACACTTCCACTGGAGACAAGATCCAGCCTCCACCCCCCAGTCCTGGGTTCAGTCCCAAGCCCTAGCTGCCAGGACCTCCCACCCTCTCCCTTTGAGGGGGCCCAGGGCCCCACAAAAAGGAGAAGCCCCGCCCAGCAACCCTACTCTCTGGCCTCACTTCGTTGGGGGAGGGGAGGAGGAGGAGATGACAAGTGTCATATGTACTGTGAGAGGGCAGCACGGGGGCTGTAGGAACCTAGAGGACGACTCAAGGAAAGCTTCAGGAAGAAGTAACCTCTGAGCTGACACTTGGAGATTCTGAAGTTCAACAAGCAAAGCTGGAGAGGAATGTCCTGGTGGAGGAAGCAGCACAGGCGACGCTAGAGCAGGAGAGAGAACTGGCAGCCAGAGTGAGAGCGTGACTCTGGCCCCAGAGAGGAGGGTGACCGAGGCTCTCTTGTGCAGCGCGCCCGCGGACCGTAGGGACAAAAAGCAGAGGCTTTGGGGTCAGCCATGTTCCTCAGTCTGCGGAAGGTGTGAGGGCGATGCTGGAACCCTGGCGCACGCTCTCATCTGCCCAGCCTGAGTGGGCTAAAGGTCGGCCCACTCCAGCGGCGGTTTCTGTAGCAACCAACAACACCGGGTTGCCCGGGCGACGGCTCCCGGGGAGGCGCGTCTCTATTGGCTGCAGCGGGCGCCTGTTCGCTGTGCGCCACATTCGATTGGTCAACTCAGCCAGAGGGTCCGCCCATATTCCCGGGCTGCGCTCTAGGTGCTGTGCGGCACAGTTCCCGCCTCAGTGCCAGGGACTGAGAGATGGGCGTAACCATGAGGGCTCCGTGCGAGAGGTCGGGGGAGAAGGAAGAGCAGGAGGAAGAGGTGGCAGCGGCCTCTGGGCGTCTTGCTGGGCCTCCAGAAACCGAGGAGGGTTCGGTCGTTGATTCAGACTCCGACCAGGAGATGGAAGGTGCTCTCGGGCAGGGATGAGCGCAGGCCTGTCTCCTCACCTAGGGAGCTTCTATAGCAGGGGTGGAGGGGGGGCCCGATGGGGAAGAGATCCCTGTCCAGCAGGGAGCGCACCCCTCTGTGGGACACCTGTGGGACTGCCGGCAGCACCTCCAGCTAGCCCCGTGCCCTCCTCACAATGCTCCTGGCGGTGTCAGGAGTTCCACCTTTAGAAAATGCCTCCAAAGTGAGTGATGTTAAACCCGCCAAACAGTGTAAGAAGGGGTGTCCCACCCCGGAATAGGATCAGGGCGTTTTCCCAACCCACAGGAACAACTAAGCTAATAAATGTATAGAACTTAGAATTGTTTCGATTTTTTCCCCCATAAAATATTCACAAAACATATGTGTTTTGTAATCCAGTGGAAAAGACAGCATGCACTTTGACGTCCAACAGGAAAGGTTCTAATTCTGGCTCTGCCAGGATTAACTACTAGCTGTGTGACTTTAGGGAAAGGACTTGCTTTGTCTGACTTTCAGTGTCCCTGTTAGCACTGGAAGAAATACTTCTAGAGGGGAACACAGGCTGCATGGTGACACAGGGCAGGGAGTAGGCAACTGTGTCTGGGGAGGGATCCAACCTGGGGAGGGACCCACGTTCATCATCTCCCTGTCTTCTATCAGGCATCCGTGGGCCTGGAGAACTGACCAAGGACACCCTCTACCTGAGATCTTGCCAGGCCCATAGTGTTGTTCCGGCCTCCTGTTTCCTGCGCCAGGGGAGCACCCCAGAGCTGAACCTGCGGCACCGTGGCCTGGGGCCCCAGGTAACCCTGGAGAGACCCTGAAGCCAGGCTTGAAGTGACAGCACCCGTGAGACACCAGCCATGGGAGTGGCCCCTTCCTGAGCCCATACCACACACTCCCCAGCCTTTCTGTGTGTCAGATATATACCGTCCCTGCATCTGGGTGACAGGTGGTATCAGGGCTATGACAGAATTCAGTGTGATGGTTGGGGGTCTGCAGGGGGGCCCCTAACCTGCTGAGGGGAGGCAGCCGGGGAAGATTCCAGAAGGTGAGATCTGGGTGAAGTCTAGAAGGATAAGAAGGTGTCCCCTGGACATGTGGGAAGGAGAGGGCCATCCAGTTGGAGAGCACTGGATGGACTGAGCCCTGGAAATGAGCCAGGGTAGTGGCCAGCTGTGTCTGGGGCCTTCACCCCTGGGAAGGACCAGGTCCTTCAGGCTCCTCTTTATCCCAGGGTGCCCGGGCTCTGGCTTCAGCATTGACCTCCAATCCCTATGTCAAGCGGCTGGACCTTCGAGACAGTGGGCTCTGTGGGGCCGGCGTGGAGGCCCTGGCAGGTGCCCTGAGCAAAGCCAGCATTATCTCTGGTAGGTGCTGAGAGTGGGGCAAGTGGGCAGATTTGAATCCTCCCTTTCCTGGGGGTGTGGGCTGCCCCATAGCCAGGCCTTCTCACCCATGACCTGGTGCTGCTGGGGCAGGGGTGGGCCGGGGTGGTGTTAGACTCTCTGTGGTGCCCCCAATGCTGGATATTATTCCCCTCCTGACCTGGCCTGCCCCTCACCCCCTCCTCTTCTGACCAACAACCCCCTGCTTATGGTGGCCTCCTATTGCCTAAATGCTGGGTGAGAGGTCCTCTAACAGAGACAGAGGCGAAGGGCAATATGAGAGAGTGGAGGGCTGGGTGGAAAGAAGTGGGGCTGGATGAAAATGCCGTCTCTACCACTGATGAGCTAGGAGGCCCCAGGCAACCTGCTCCACCTAGCTGAGCCTTAGTTTTCAATCTGTGAAATGGCCCCAACAATAACATTTAGCCCCTGGGGTTGTGCTGAGTATGAAATGAAACTGCATATGAAGGGCTCAGCAAGGAGCCTGGCTCACGTACATGCTCCGTGCACTGGTCACCTGGGCTGTCATTGCCAGTTCATAGAAGCGCATCAGTGAAGACTTCTGTGGGTGTGGTACATTGCTGTCAGGAAGGAATCATCCACGGGTGGTCGCCTCACCATCACGGGTATCCTATACAGACCATGAAGTAGGCAGTTTGAACCCTGAGGCAAAGAAGCTTGTGGATACATGGAGGGGTTGTGGGCATCAGAGAAGCTGCCTGGGGCTTGAGGGGATGGATCTAGCTGATGTGAGGCCCAGTCACTGTGCAACCCCAGGGTCATCTGGCTGTCTCACCTCCTCCGCTGCCTCAGGCCTGGAGATTTCAGGGATAGAGGAAGGGGGAAGAGGGCAGTACCTGGCTTTGGATCCCACTGATGGAGGACGGCTGCCAACCCCTAGATGTGGACCTGTCGGAGAACCAGATGGGAGTGGTGGGAGCCCAGGCGATCTGTGCTGCTCTCACAGTGAACCCAACCATGCAGAAGGTACAACTGGCAGGGAACGGCCTGGAGGAGCACGCAGCCCAGTACCTTGCTGAACTCCTGCTGGCTCACACAGGACTGAAATCCCTGGATCTGAGCTATAACCAGCTGAATGACCATGCAGGTAACATCTAGCCAGAGCCACCATGGGGCACTCAAGCCCATCTTCCTGGGGCAAGGGTGGGTAGAGGTTGACAGGGCCTCTCTGAACATTCATGCTCTGGCTCCTGTTTCCCATGTCCCACTTTGGCCTGCCCCTCTCTCACTCCTTCCACACTGAACTCTTCATCCATCCCACAGATTGCCATGAACTGCTGTTGCTTGTGCTGGATGCTGATTTAGCCCCTAGTGACCTGGTTGTGAATAAGACAGAGTCCCTGGCCTCAAGGAATGTCTATTAATGAGATAATTCTCCATAATTATTGGTGTAACAAAATAAACAGGGCAGGAATGAATCGCCCTGATGAATTAAGATCAATGGGGATGAATGGGGACCCCTTGCCTTAGGTGGCTGGGGAGGTCCCTGTGAGATGACATTTCAGCTTAAATGTGCAGGGTGGGAAAAAATCAGCCATGGCAAGACCAGGAGAGAGCATTTCAAGCAGAGGAAGAGTGAACATGAAGGCTTATTTCCCAGACTGATAGATATCGGTGTGGCTGGGCTAGTGAGCCAGGAGAGAGGGGCTGTACTGTGAGGTGAAGGGGCTGGTGGGCTCTGGGTGAAGAGGTGGAGGGCTGCAGGCCTACAAATCTTGGCAAAAGGCATGAAGATAGAATTGCAAGTGCTGTGGAAGACATTGATTGGATTCCTTGATCTCACCACTTTCATGCCCAGGGCCTTTGCAGAGGCTTTGCCAGGAGCATGTACTTCTACCTGTCTGTCTTCAACCACTCCAGTCAATTATAGGAATCAGTTGGGACCAGAGTTTAGGAACACGGATTCCTCCTGGGCCCTGAACCTGCTGAACCAGAATCTTGGCGGGGCAGAGCCCATGCATCTACATTTTAATAGGTGCCTTAGGAGATTTGTCTGATCAAGAAAGTTTGGGAATCACTGTTCTGTCTCAAGCAGCTTAGAGTAGAGGTGGTACCAACCTAGGCCTTTGAGGATCAGCCTTAGAATTTAACTGCCAGATAGCCTGTTTACCTTCTAAGAAAATTACTATGAGAAGTCTGTGAAATTAAAAAAGAAGTTGAGGGGACCTGGATGGCTCATTCAGTTAAGCACCTGGCTTCAGCTCAGGTCATGATCCCAGGGTCCTGGGATCGAGCCCCTTGTTGGATTCCCTGCTTAGTGGGGAGTCTGCTTCTCCCTCTCCCTTGCTAATTCTCTCTCTCTCTCAAATAAATAAATAAAATCATTTCAGACTTCCAACAAACTAAGTATAGGTGTCCCCCTGGGCCTTCACAGTGAAAAGGCGAGCATGGGAGAGGCAGCCAGAGAGGACAAGACAGGAAGCTAAGGCCCTGTGAAGGCTACACAATGAGGTAGGGTGGTCTTCAGCTCAGAAAAGACAAACTCAGCAGGACCATTTTGTTTCCTCAAGTGGGGATCTGTGGGTGGGGCTGACTCCCTTGAAGGGTGAAGAGCTTGGGTCTCGATCTCCCCATCTGACCCAAGGCAAAGGTAGCACCTACCTCATCGTTGGCTACAGAGGTCATGGTCATGAAGTCTAAGCATTGAAATTTCAAGAGGCCAATTCATGTATGTAGAGGAAACTTTTTTTTTTTAAGATTTTTATTTATTTATTTGACAGAGAGAGATCATAAGTAGGCAGAGAGGCAGGCAGAGAGGGAGGAAGGGAAGCAGGCTCCCTGCTGAGCAGAGAGCCCGATGTGGGGCTCCATCCCAGGACCCCGGGATCATGACCTGAGCTGAAGGCAGAGGCTTAACCCATTGAGCCACCCAGGCGCCCCTAGAGGAAACTTTTCACCCCCTATTTGTTCAGCAAAGAAGGGGCTTACCTACAAAGCGGGAACTACCTCCCTCTCCTCCCAGTACTAGAAGTATCTGAGGAAGGGGGAAAGTACATACTTGTACCTGAGAATCTGTGGGTGTCAGACCCAGTGGTGGGTTGGGAATCCAGAGTCCTGTTCTCAGGGAGGCTGCCCAGAGAGTCCCAGCTGGTTGCCTTGCAGGGAGCTCTCCAAGGTGCTAAAGCATCTTGCGGCAGTGGGTTCTGGCCAAGCAGGCTATCTTTTCTTTCTTCCTTCCTTCCTCCCTCCCTCTCTCCCTCCCTCCCTCCCTCCCTTTCTTCCTACCTTCCTTCCTTTTCTTCCTTCCTTTCCATTCTTTTCCTCTTTTCTTAGCCTAAGAATTTATTTTTAAGCGATCTCTGCACCCAAGTTCGTGCTTGAACTCACAACCCCAAGATGAAGAGTTTCATGCTCTACTGACTGACCCAGGCAGACACCCCTGAGCAAGGTAGTACTGCTCAGTTAGAGCATCTGTTTTTCTTCTGTGTCTTTCTTCAAACCAGCCTTATTAAGCCACATGAGGAGCTGAGACCATGGAGAGGGTTCCAGTTCATATTCTTTTTTTTTTTAAGATTTTATTTACTTATTTGACAGACAGAAATCACAAGTAGGCAGAGAGGCAGGCAGAGAGAGAGAGAGAGGGGAGGAAGCAGGCTCCCCACTGAGCAGAGAGCCTAATGGGGGGCTTGATCCCAGGACCCCAGAATCATGACCTGAACTGAAGGCAGAGGCTTTCACCCACTGAGCCACCCAGGTGCCCCCCAGTTCATATTCTTGAGAGACTTCTGGGCTGTTGGGAAAGACTGACCAGGCAAAGAGAGGTCATTAGACCTAGGCCTGGAAGAATGGAAGCACATTGGACATGGGGCTCAAGGCAGCACAACCCAGCTGGGCAGGCAAGGCTTCCTGATGCTGTGAGCCCCTGTTAGAAGGATGAGGAGCTGTTATCCAGGTGAAGAGGGGGTCAGGAGTTCTACCCAGGGGGACAGCCCAGAGTCATATTGGTGCTGGTGCTTTTGAGCACTGGGAGCAGGTCAGACTGGCTGAATCCTGACAGAGTAGAGAACGTGGTGGGTGATGGGACTTCTGTCCATTTTTATATGCTAAAAATCTCTCAAGGTCTCTTACCCTGCACTGCTCCTTCCTTTTCTCTCCCACAAGTGCCTTCTCTCCACACAGCTGCACCAGCCTCCTCACCTCTCTGCCCCTGCCCACCTCAGTCCATACCCTACACCTGCCACTAAGGAGCCCAGCTTTGCCATTTCTTAAAGCCTCACCACTAACTGGTTGGTGCCCCCAAAGACTTGGCCCAGCATTGAAGCCTCTCAGCCTCTCTCTAGTGCCCATCACTCTTACCTCATTTCAGTGGCTTCCCCCCTGACCTGCCAGGCCTGTGGGTATTTCCACAAGTGCTCCGTGCTCCCTCATGCCTCCACACATTTGCAGTTTCCTGTGTGTGTTCTCTGCTGTTGTGTGCCTACACACGTGGTGAGACCCTCAATCTTCAAGGTTATCTCTCTGTCCTCACTGTCCTGACACCCCCGGCTAAGGCTGGGTTTGTCCCTACCCTGTTCCAACACATCCCTGTTTGTAGTCTATGATAGCTCCTATTCCATTAATTTGTATTTATAGTTGGACATGGATTTGAACTGCATGGGTCCACTTATATGCAAGTTTTTTATAAATACAGTATTATATGTGTATTTTCTCTGTTGATTTTCTTTTTAAAAAGATTTATTTATTTATTTTAGAGAGAGAGATGGAGAAATTGGGAGCATGCAGTGGGAAGGGAGAGAGAGAATCTCAAGCAAGCTCCACACCCAGTGTGGAGCCCGGCATGGGGTTTGATCTCATGACCCTGAGATCATGACCTGAGCTGAAATCAACAGTCGGACACTCAACCAACTGAGCCACCTAGGCGCCCCCCTATGATTTTCTCAATAATATATATTTTTTTATTTGACAGAGAGAGATCACAAGTAGGCAGAGAGGCAGGCAGAGAGAGGGGGAAGCAGGCTCCCTGCTGAGCAGAGAACCCGATGCCGGGCTCAATCCCAGAACCCTGGGACCACGACCTGAGCCAAAGGCAGAGGCTTAACCCACTGAGCCACTCAGGCGCCCCTCAATAATATTTTCTTTAGCTTACTTTATTTTAAGAATATAGCATCTAATATATATAGTTTACCAAATGTGTTAATCAACACTTAAATTGTTCTCAGTAAGGTCTTCTTTCTGATCAACAGTACGTGTCAGTTATTGAGGCTTGGGGGAGTCAAAGTTACATGAAGATTTTCAACTGTACAGGGGTTTGGTGCCCCAACCCCCATGTTGTTCAAGAATCAACTGGGAACGCCTGGGAGGCTCGGTGGGTTAAAGCCTCTGTCTACGGCTCAGGTCGTGATTCCAGGATCCTGGGATCGAGCCCCACATCAGGTTCTCTGCTCAGCAGGGAGCCTGCTTCCCCACCACGCACTACCCCCTCCCCCCGCCTACTTGTGATCTCTCTCAAATAAATTTTAAAAATCTTAAAAAAAAAAAAGAATCAACTGTATCTCCCCTATTAAATGTGAATTCCTTGAGGACAGGGCAAGACCATATTGGGTTCAACTTGGTGACCCTGCCACCCAGCAGAGACCCTGGCACACCACTGTCATTAGTATCATTTTTTGAAGGAATGAACAGGATGAGTAAGGCCTGTCTTGGTGTTTCTAAAGGGGAGATCCTTGGACCAGCCCTGGCAGAAAATACAGGACTCACTGAGCTTAATATAAGCTGGAATCACCTTCGAGGACCAGGAGCTGTAGCCTTTGCTAGGGGACTGGAGGTATGAACAGCCCTACAACCTGTCTACCCTTCTGGCCTGTCCTGTGGGGACAGGACTCCCAGGTACCAGCTCCCTGTCTTTACAGCTCTTCAGAAATGAGCCTTGGATCTTTTAAGAAGAGCTTGCAAAATATTTTGTTTGGTGATTTCAATTTTCCCAGCCCCATTTCATGACTCCAAAGCACCATGCTCGTTCTCGTGATGCTTCCTGGAGGGTCTACGAATGAATGTTGCCTACCTTCTCCGGATATTATAGATATTATAGGCATATGGCTGGTGGGGGACGTCGTGCGGTCTGGTGCTCACTGAGGGCATATGCAGATGCTTCTCTGAGGTGACACCCTGCACCCTTGGGTCCCGCACACACTCTGAAACATACCACTTGCTTCCTTGGATCTTGTGGTTCGTAGGTCTCAGGAATGGGTGGCTCCTAGCCCCTGCCAGGATGTCCCTGGTGCCAGCTCCCTTTGTGGGGTTCTCCTCAGGAAATGGCAGTAGCTGCTTTGCTTGGCCCACTCCCCTGGGGCTGACATGGGGATCCTGCTCCACAAGTGGCAGGTTAGGCTTTGTCTTCCCAATGCAGCTACAAGTTCCTGCCCTTCTCCCCATCACAATCCACCAACAACCCTTCCCTGGAGCCCCTTTGGGATCCTGCTCTGTGCCTCAGAGAACCTGCCCTTGGGTCCCCAAGTGGGCGTGAGCCAGATCATCAAGTCTGTCTCTGAGGGTCATCCACACCCACCCTTGGTGCTATGCTCCCAGTCATTCAGGTCTCCTGGTCACCATCATTCCAGCCACAAGATTCTTACCTAGAACCTCTGACCTTCTGCTCTCAGTCCGTGATTTTTGCTCCTCAGGCCTCCTGGGCTGTGAGGCTGTGGTCCCTGGCCACCTTCCTGGGGGCGGGGGAGTGGCCTCCTGGCTTCACTCTTGCATTCCAGGCAAACATCTTCCTCAGAGTCCTGGACATCTCATACAATGGCTTTGGTGATCCTGGAGCGTCCGCGGTGGGTGAGGCACTTAAGACCAACAACGTGTTGGAGGAACTCAACATGAGGTGAGATGTATAAAATGGTCCCTGGCGCCTGGGTGGCTCAGTCGGTTAAGCCACTGCCTTCGGCTCAGGTCATGATCTCGGGGTCCTGGGATCAAGTCCCACATTGGGCTCTTTGCTTGGCAGGGAGTCTGCTTCTCTCTCCACCTCTGCCTGCCACTCTGCCTGCTTGTGCGCTTGCTCTCTCTCTCTCTCTCTCTCTGCCAAATAAATAAATAAATATAATCTTTAAAAAAGAAAAATAAAGTGGTCCCTGTGTCACAGCCTCCATGTCCAAAGTCACCTAAGGGCTCTGGGACTCCAAAATCTTCCTGCTGTTTACCACCTTAATCCACAAACATACCACAGTCTAACCGTGATGGGGCTTGAGCCACAATCCAAGAGCACCCAGCTCTGGCCCCCTCACTCAAGTTCAGCCTTGTACTTTGGGTCTCATAATTCCTGCTGCATAGGCGGGGCTGAGAATTGAAAACATATATGTAAAACAGCTTCAGTAGAGGGGTGCCAAGGTGGCTCAGTTGGTTAAGCATCTGATTCTTGATCTCAGCTCTCAGCTCAGGTTTCGATCTCAGGGTGGTGAGTTCAAGCCACGCACTGGGCTCCGTGCTGGGCCTGGGAACCTACTTCAAAACAAAGCAAAACAAACAAACATGTAAACAAACAAAACATCTTCAGCAGAGACTGGTGTGGGGGAGCGCTCATGTTCTGCTCAGCAGATGACTGCTGGGGGCCTACCCTATGTGATTTGCTGCTGCAGGCTCAGGCAGCATCCCAGCCCTAGGCAAGTAACCAGAGCAGAGGCAGCAAACCACAGGGAAAAAGAGAGGCAGAAGCCCAGTAGGTCCTGGACTGTGTGGCCAAGCACTTCCACTGGGGGTGCTGCTAGAGTGAGCAGGGTCTGCCTGACGCAATTCTGTCCTTCCCATGGAAGGAGCTAAGGCCAGAAGAGGCTATGAGACATGCTGGAATTCGAAGCCAGAGCTGGGGCCTGAGAAGTCAGAGTAGAGAGGGATTGGCTCAGAGCTAAAGTGACCAAGATAGGTGCTGGGGCCAGAGCTTAGGTCCATCTGGAGAAGCAGGAGGAGAGGACGTGAGGAGGGAGCTGGGTGGTTTCCAGCACAGATGCTGTCATGCTGATAGGAATGGCGTGCTGATGGCAGGGGTGTGGGGGGGACATGTAGGAGGACCTGCTAAGCTCTGAGGGCCTGGGGGAAGCAGCTGGCCGCTGCTAGGGAGGGGGGCGGTACTCAAGGTGTGTTTGCTGAGTGATCTCCCTGAACACTGGGAGCCTCCAGTGAAGCAGAGTCACTATCCAGTCTTTGCATACTGACCTTCCCGGGGTCCCTGGAGCATTAGTGGAGGCTGGAATGTGAAGTCCAGCTGGGTCCATGAACCTGCCCAGCTTCTCGGAAAGTAGCAAAATGCTCATGTCTTTCTGTTGCAGCAACAACCGCATCTCTGCAGTGGGAGCCTTGAGCCTGGGCCTGGGCCTCCGGGTCAATCAGACACTGAGGATTCTTGTTGTGAGTGCTAGCCTGATGGGGGAGGTCCCCCTGTACATATCCACACAGATCCCTCCCCTGCCACATCTCTCCACTCCTCTGGCAGTGGAGTGCACAGGTTCTAAAGCCCAGATAAGGGAGTGGGGCCTCCTGGCTTCCTCTTGTGACCCCCTTCTTTCCCTTGCCATTCATTCATCCATCTCTGGCTGACCCATGCACTTCTTCCGACTCCTCCCTCGTCGTTCCTTCCCTCCCAGCAGTGTCACCCTACCTCCCAGCTGGCCTTCCTCTTTCTCAACCCATCGGGTCAGCCAAGGTGTACTATTGGCCATAGTCAGACCTACCCAAGGCCTCATGTGCATACCAGGGGTTCCCTTCCTTCGGGGTTGCCAGCGGGCTAGGAGCGGCTAGGCAGGGCTGACAGCAGAGGACAGAGAAGGGGGGGTGCAACTGGGGGTGGAACAGGTCCGTGAGGGCCACTGTGCCGACGGCAAGTGCTCAGTGGACAGCGCTGCCAGGTCCAGGGGGCATCCAGCCCCGCCTGGCTTTCGGCACCCTCAACCGGCCAAGGAGCCATGGTGTAGTCCTCCCATCCCCAGCCTGAGACTCACTCCTCTCCCACCCACCCCTCCACCCCTGCCCCCCAACCCCCGCTACAATCCAGACCTCTCTTAAGCTCTGGATCCCCCTTTCCAGCCACCTGCTGGACAGTTCCCTGGATGTCCTATGGGTACAAAGCACAATCTGAAGACATCATCTCTCTCTATGGACTACCTCCTGTGGGTGGGGGGGTGGGGAAGACTTCCTCATGGAGTCAGAAGTGGGGGCTCAGTGCTCACCCCCCCTTTTTTATGAAAAATTTTAAAAGATTTTATTTATTATTTGACAGAGAGAGGGACCGCAAGCAGGGGGAGTCAGAGAGGGAGAAGCAGGCTCCCCACTGAGCAGGAAGCCCAATGTTGTGGGGGGGCTTGATCCCAGGATCCTGACCCCAGCCGAAGGCAGGTGCATAACTGCTTAACCGCTTAACCAACTGAGCCACCCAGGTGCCGTACTCCTCCCTTTCTTCCCCATGCCTTCCATCCTTCATCTTGCTTCCTGCCAAGTCCCCAGGCTCTCTGCTCCTCCTTCTCACTTCCCCTCAAGTTCTGTGGACCTGCTAGTTTCCCATCTCTGGCCCCTCCTTCCTACCCACCAGGTGATCTTTCTAAAGCAGAAACCTGCTCCCACCCCTCCTGGCTTTAAACCTGTTGGAGGCTCCCCTCTGGGTAAATCCAGGCTTAGTTGTACATCCAGGCTTAGTTGTATGGCATTCCCTACACACTAGGCTCCAAGCTCTGCCATAACCCCTCTGCCTTCCACCCGTGAAGCTCATTCTCTTGCCCCAACCTGCTCTGAATTTTCTACACGTGGTGCAATCTCTTCCCTCTGTTTTGCTTCTCCGGCTCTTCTTGCTGAAATATGTAGCTCTGCATACCTCCCCTATAAAGCTCAAGGCAGGTGTTTTAACCCTGCCTAACCTTTACCTCCCAAGGAGAGGTGATACACTCTCACTGCACTGGGTTTTCATGACGTTTCCTTTTCCTCTCTTCCCCAAGATGGGTGAGCTCATTAAAGGCCGGGATGTGGGACATCCTGGGTGGCTCAGATGGTTAGGCGTCTGCCTTCGGCTCAGGTCTTGATCCCAGGGCCCTGGGATTGAGCTCTGCATCAGGCTCCCTGCTTGGTTCCGGGAGAGCTCTGCTTTTCCCTCTCTCTCCCTACTGTTCCCCCTTGCTTGTGCTCTCTCGCTACCTCTGTCAAATAAATAAATTTAAAAAGTAAATAAATAGGGACGCCTGGGTGGCTCAGTTGGTTAAGTGGCTGCCTTCGGCTAGGGTCATGATCCCAGGGTCCTGGGATTCAGTCTTGCATCGGGCTCCTTGCTCAGCAGGAAGCTGACTTCTCTCTCTGCCTGCTTGTGCTCTCTTTCTCTCTGACAAATGAATAAATAAAATAATCTTTAATAAATAAAAAAATCTTTTTAAAAAAAGTAAATAAATAAAGGTAGGGATGTGCCCTGTGTGTCCCTATCTTTGACATCTGGCAGAGTTGGGCATGGGGGGCTACTCAGCCAGGTTATATTCTCTTCCCCTCTTTCCTGGCCCAAGAGCTTCCTGAAGGTCATTCTGTGAGCAGAGACAACTTCTGAGCTGAGACAGTGGGGCTGTCCTGAGTCACTTCAGCAGACATGAGGAATCCCTCCTTCCCTTTGGAGTTGCCCCACCAGCCTCCCTGGGCTCAGTTTTTCTCAATTGTGTGTGTGTTTCTCAGATGTCCAGGAATCCCATGCGAGGCGAAGGCTGCTTTGGAGTTCTAAAGTCTGTCCGGGAGAATCCAACGTCCGCCCTAGAACTCCTGGATTTCTCTGTAAGAGCTTTTTGTTAATCTCAACTGTGATCCTCGCAACAGCTGCATGAGTTATCATTTAGAGGAAGAAAGTGGGGATTAGAGAAATAAAGTGCCCTGCCCAGATGCTTAGTGTGGCTGAGTCTGAAAGCCACCACCCCCAGGCCAGAATTTGGATCACAGAGCCACTCTGGCTCTATTCCCACTCCAGACTGGGGGGTACCTCCATGGTCTCACCTCCATCCCCCTGCCTGGGTTCTTCATTGGCCGAGCTAATAGGTGGCTCAGAGGACACAAAGCCTGCTGTTCACTGATGTTTGGATTTGCAGGTTCAGTACTTACAAAGTGTCCCTGCCCCACCCCTTGGTCTCTTCTCTCTGCAGGCAGATCGTGGTGCTGGAAGAGTCACTCATGTGGCCTTGAGGGAGATTAAGACTCCTTTTCATTCACTTGTGCCTTTTTTTTAAGATTTTATTTATTTATTTGACAGAGAGATCACAAGTGGGTAGAGAGGCAGGCAGAGAGAGAGGGGGAAGCAGGCTCCCCGCTGAGCAGAGAGCCTGATGTGGGACTCAGTCCCAGACCCTGGGATCATGACCTGAACCGAAGGCAGAGGCTTTAACCCACTGAGCAACCCAGGTGCCCCCACTTGTGCCTTTTTAATATAGAAAACTAATAGCAATTACACATTAAGGAGAGAATTCCCAAATATGAGTTATTAAAAGGAAGTCTAGTCTTATTCTAATTCTGATTATTCTTTTTTTTTTAATATTTTATTTATTTATTTGTCAGAGAGAGTGAGCAGAGGCAGACAGAGAGGCAGGCAGAAGCAGAGGGAGAAGCAGGCTCCCTGCTGAGCAAGGAGCCCGATGTGGGACTCAATCCCAGGACCCAGGGATCATAACCTGAGCCAAAGGCAGCTGCTTAACCAACTGAGCCACCCAGGCATCCCTCTAATTCTGATTATTCTAATTCTGGTTGATGTCAACCCAGATTTAAGTCAAAACGTTTCCAGAGACTTTTTTTTTTTTTTTACAGTTCCAATCCTTCAGGCTTGGAACAACTGATGTCAACCAGCCTTATTGCTTCCTTCTGCCTGCCCAGTTTCTATAGCTCCAAAACCAAAGATTAGCTTGCCTTGACCATGTCCCTCCTGCTCTGAGAATTCCTGTTAGCATTGGCTTCTATCATTTAAAAAAAAAAAGGGGGGGTGCACCTGGCTGGTTCAGTCGTAAGAGCATGTAACTCCTGATCTCGGGGCTGTGAGTTTGATCCCCACATTGGGTGCAGAGATCACTTAAATAAATATTTTAAAAAATAAATAAAGGAATGATATATGAAACTGTTCAGCAAAACTATGTGATTATTCAGTATAACCTATGGTTAGTATCAGGAGCATTTAATGTAATGGAAACACCACAGAGGTGAGAATCAGACAAGCCTGGGACCAAATCCTGAGGCATCAATATGAGATCTTCTTTTTTTTTTTTAAGATTTTTAAATTTTATTTATTTGACAGAGAGATCACAAGTAGGCAGAGAGGAGGGCAGAGAGAGAGGAGGAAGCAGGCTCCCCACTGAGGAGAGAGCCCAATGCAGGGCTTGATCCCAGGACACTGGGATCATGACCTGAGCCGAAGGCAGAGGCTTTAACCCACTGAGCCACCCAGGTGCCCCAATACGGGATCTTCTGAATTGAAGAGTATTACTAGTCTAGATGCAATGTACTATTTTCCTATTCCTTAACTGTTACTAGTATAATCTCCCCAGCCTAGATTTTCTCCTCATCTTTAAGGGAAATAATTCTTTTTCTTTTTTTTTTTAAGATTTTCTTTATTTATTTGACAGAGACAGAGAGCACAAGCAGGCAGAGTGTCAGACAGAGGGAGAGAAAGAAGCAGACTCCTTGCTGAACAGAGAGCCCAACTCGGGGTTTGATCCCAGGACCCTGGGGTCATGACCTGAACCAAAAGCAAATGCTTAGGGGTGCCTGGGTGGCTCAGTGAGTTAAAGCCTCTGCCTTTGGCTCAGGTCATGATCTCAGGGTCCTGGGATCGAGCCCCATATCGGGCTCTCTGCTCCGCAGGGAGCCTGCTTCCTCCTCTCTCTCCACCTGCCTCTCTGCCTACTTGTGATCTCTGTCAAATAAATAAATAAAATGTTAAAAAAAAAAACAAACAAAAACAAATGCTTAACTGACTGAGCCACCCAAGTGCCCCTAAGGGAAACACTTCCAAATCCTGACAGTTCGTGTAAAACCCTTCCCAGGTTTCAGCCTTGTCTTTAGGTGAAATGGGGCTAAAATCTTACAGCCAGGCTCATCGTGAAGAGGGGGTGAGCTAGCAGACCCCATAGGAAAGGCCTGTGTAGAGAAAGACCCCATTGGTGCTAGTATTCTCCCCCCGTCACTCCCCTTGCTTTTCGTTTGTTATTGAGGAATAAGGTCTATCCTGAAAAGTGCAGGTGGATTAGGGCTGTGAATTTCCACAGACAGAACATACCTTATGCAATCAGCCCCCAGATCAAAAAATAGTGCAGGCCCCAAGGAGCTCCCCTGGAACCACTTCCCTTTTCTACTTTAATGTTTTGGGGAGTAATGACATTGTCATTCATATGAGAGAAGCTGCCCTAAGATGTTTCTTCAAAACCTTGTGTGTATAAGTAAAAAACAGTGACGTTCTCTGTAGGTGATGCTGTACCGCCTTGTAATGGGTTTCTCCGCAGGAGATCCAAGTGGACAGAGAGTTTGATGACCTCGCCAGCTCAGTGAAGGTACTGCTTCCAGCACTCCATGTAAAGACTGCTGCCCACAGAGTGAAATACAAAAAGGAGTTACCATCAGTCTTCACCCCGTCCCTACCAGCGTCTGTCCCTAAGTGACTGTGGTAGGTGGCTTCCTCATCTCACATTGGCCACTTCAACGTCGAGGGTTCTTGGACTCACAGTGCCTTATTACCACTCGAGTCTGCAGTGAGTCCCCATGTCAACCAGGCAGTAGTCCTGTTGAGCCCATCTTGATGAAATTTTGGACACCTGTACCCTCCTCTCCATCCCATGGCCTCTGTTAACACAGAGACTGGGTCTTCCTTCGTTCCTGCTAATTTGTGTAACTTGTACTGTGTGCTACATATTGAGCTGGGTATGGGGTCAGAGATGTCCAAAGTCTCTGCTCTGGTGACTTCAAGAGACAATCAAAGTACAAACTCAACTTGCCAGAATGCAAACTGACCCAACTTTTCTGGCAGGAGATTTATCATCATGCACACGGGGCTTAAAATCACCTGTGCTCATTGATTTGATGGTCTGCAGAAATAACCAGAGCTGCATAAAAACACCAACGCCCAGAGATGTCCAATGAAATGCTGTTTATATGATGAGAATTGGAAATAATCAAAATGCTCACTAACAGGAGATTGGTTAACTAAGATTTGGAAGTCTGCGAACATTAAAAGCCAAGTGTTCAAAGGCCATCTAGTAATTTATGAAAATGCACATGATTGATGTTAAGGGAGAAAATCAGGATAAAAAAATCTCATGGTTTGTTTAATAGTTCCTCAAAAGATCAAACATGTAGTTTATCCCAGACCCAGCAATTCCAAACATAGAGAAAGGAAAACATATGTTCACACAAAAACTTGCACACAGATGTTCACAGCTTTAGTCATAATGTCCACAAAGTACAAATGTCCACCAGCTCATAAATGGATAAATAAATTACGGTATACCCATACAATGGAACACCCCTCCAATTTGGCCATAAGAGGGCATGAAATTTGGGGTGATTAAAATGTTCTAAAATTGACTGTGGTAATGGTTACACAACTCTGAATATGCCAAAAGTAGTTGAATTGTACACTATTTTTAAAAAGATATGTTTATTTGTTTTAGAGGTGGGGAGGGACAAAGGGAGAGGGAGAGAGAATCTCAAGCAGACTCCCTGTTGAGTGTGGAGCCCAATGCTGGGACTTGATCTCACGACGCTGAGATCACGACCGGAATAAAAAACTATTCAGACACTCAACCGACTGAGCCACCCAGGTGCCCCTGATTTGTACACTTTAAACAGGTGAATTGTGTGGTATGTGAATTGTAGCTCAATAAAGCTGTTTACAAGCAAAAGGAATGTGGTATCACGTTACTACTACAGGAATGTATTATGTATTAAGAAGGATGTATCATGCTACAACATGAAGGAACCTTGAAATCATGTTAAGTCAAAAAAGCCATTCACAAAAAACCATATATTGTATGTTTCTGTTTATATGAAGTGTCCAGAATAGGCAGGTCTATAGCGACAGAAAGTAGATTAGAAGTTGCCTAGGGCAGGGGCCGCCTGGCTGGCTCAGTTCATAGAGTGCCTGACTCTTAATCTCAGGGTTGTAGGTTTGAGTTCCATGTTGAGTGTAGAGATTATTTTTAAAAAATAAAATGAATTAAAAAAAAAATACGGGTGCCTGGGTGGCTCAATGGGTTAAGCCTCTGCCTCCGGCTCAGGTCATGATCTCAGGGTCCTGGGACCGAGCTCCACATCGGGCTCTCTGTTTAGCAGGGAGCCTGCTTTCCCCTCTCTCTCTGCCTGCTTCTCTGCCTACTTGTGATCTCTGTCAAATAAACAAAGTAAAAATCTTTAAAAAAAATAAAGAAGTTGCCTAGAGTTGGGGAGATGGGAGGGACTGGGAGCTGACAGTGAAAGGGCAGGGGTTTCTTTGGTAGGTGATCAAAATGTTCTAAAGTTGATTGTGGTGATGGTTGCACAAGTATGAATATACTACGAACTACTGGATTGTACACCATTTTAAATGGGTGAATTGTCTGGTGCCTGGCTGGCTCAGTCAGGAGAGTTTGATTTCTGGGTTGTGAGTTCAAGCCCCACAATTACTTAAAAATTAAAAAAAAAATCTAAAAAAAAGGGTGAATTGTATAGTATGTGAATTATATCTCAAGAAAGCTGTTACCAAAACAAAACAAACCCTATTGTTGGGTCCAGATTGTGTAAAAAACATGTAGAAGTGTATATATGCAGGAAAAAACACTAAAAAAAAAAACCTGACATATTAAAATGTTTATTAATGACCCTGGGGTTGAGCCCCAGGTCAGACTCCCCACTCAGCTGGAAGTCTGCTTATCTCCCTCTCCCTCTGCTTGTGCTTTCTCTCTAAAATAATAAATCTTTTTGAAAAATAAAAATAAAATATGATAGAGGCTATAATTCAATTATTTTTGTGGTACAGTTGGAGCCCTGAGACGGGAGGGTACTATAGACTGAATTGAGTCTTCACCCTCAATTCCTATGTTGAAGCCCCAACCCCAAGTGTGACTGTATTTGGAGATAGGAGGTAACTGATGTTAAATGAGGTCATAAGAGTGGGGCCCTAATCTGTTAAGATTAGTGTCCTTAAAAAAGAAACACCAGAGAGCTTGCTCTCTCCTCCACCCCTGTGGGCAGATACAGCAAGAAGGCAGCCTTTAGCAAGTCAGGAAGACAGACCTTGCTTGAGACCAAACCTTCCAGAACTTGACATTGCACTTCTAGCCTCCAGAACTGTGAAAAAATAAACCTCTGTGCTTAAGCTAACCAGTCTATGGTGTTTTGTTATGGCAGGTGAGCTAAGATAGAAGGATTCACCCTCCTGGGGAGAAGCAGGGAAGATTGCTCCTAATTTCTGTGACTCTCCCCTGACCTCCCTCCATCTCCCTCCTTCCTGTTGCCAAAGTTGCCTTTTTAAGGGCAGACAAATCATACTGTTTGCATGTTCTCAAGGCCTACAGAAAAATTCCAGCTCCTCTGTCTGGTGTGTCCCACTGCAGGGGTTGAGTTCTCCATCCTTCTCTAAGAAGAAGATAAGGGTCTGCTCCAACACACTCTGGGGAATCGCCAGAAAGGGTGTGGCATTTGGGTGACAAACTGAGAGTATGCCAGAGTTCCTCTTACTCTGCTCTTCTCAAAAAAAAAAAAAAATACACATTGGATCCTAAAGAAAGTTGAGTCAAGCTTTACAGAATGAAAGAATCAGGTAACTATTCCAAAGTCCCTCAAAAATGGACACTGAGCTCCAACCCAGCTCTTGGTGTAGGGGAGGCTGGGGTATACCCTTCCACTCCCTTGTTTCTAGAAACTCAGTTCATATTAAAGAAGGAACCAAATCCTAACTGGTTCCCGGGTGCTGGATGGCAAAGGCCTTTCTACACCAGAAATGGGGTGGACAAGAAAGAGGGTGCAGACTTTAGGTAAAAAGCTGGCATCCATCTTGCTAGTTCAGATGAAAGAATGAACACTAGAGGTCCAAACCCTCCGCAAGCACGGCTGGACCTTCTAGGGAATGGAGCAGGCCCAAGAGACAGGAATGTTCACTTATTCAAAGGATCATGACCCCACTAGCTTACTCAGGGAACAGTTAGTTAGGCATCTAGATGCAGCTAATCAGCACTATCCCAAACACACATTCACCAGGTGCTCCTAATGAAACCTCTAACCTAAGAAATAGGTTTTTCAGATTCCAAGTCCCCCGAGATAGAGCACACTTCCGTGGACGGGAGGAAGCCCCCCTCAAGTAACAAAGTAACGTCTGTGAACACGATTTCATGAGCTTCCGATCAACAGCGTCCACCTTCTCAGGAGACCCCTGACCCAAATTTTGCCCTTAAAAATCCTTCCTTATAAGGCATCAGGATGTTCGGGACTTTGAGCATTGGTTTCCCATTCTCCTGGGTGGCACCCCACCAATAAATAGTCTATCTTCACGGCGAAAGCTCGGTGCCAGTCCTTTACTAGCTAGCTGGGCAAGGTGAAGCAACTGTCCTTTGGATTGGTTACAGATAGATGATGGGAAGACCTCCAAGAGGGTGGTCATGTTTGCAAAGACCTGAATCAGGAACAGGCAGATGAATGGGCCTGAGGCTCCAAATGAGAAGGCGACACAATCTTGACTTGAAGCCATTCGCACGCTGGGGACTTAAACGCATGAAAATGTCCAGGTGCCCCACGCAAGGAAAACCACGGCCATTCCAACCTAAAGGCCGAGGAGGCACAAGAACTCTCCACCTTTGGCTCGGCCGCAGCCTTCCCGCCACAGCCGCATCCAATCTGAAGGCGCCATACTCCGTGAGTCAAGCAATGGCCAATCGGAAGCGGGATTCCAGGCTTCGGTCCGCCCCGAGGTGCTGACAACCAATTGGCGTCTGCGCAGCAGCGGGCCAATCCCCAGCAGTGTGCACAGTCCGGTGGCGGCAGTTGGGCGCGTGGTGTCTGTGGCGGCAGTTGAGGTCGAGTAGCGGCGTTGGGCAGCAGCTGAGCTCACCATGGTAAGACCCCAGGGCCTGGCCTGCATTGGCAGGACCCCGGCCACTCTTGCTCTGTGGGCGAAGCCCACCACGTGAGGCGACAGGGAGGGGCAAGACTAGGAAGGACGCTGGGACCGGGGTTCCATGGCGGGGGGACAGGCGTTGGCTGAAGAAGGGGCTGGGGTGCGCACGGGAGGTCCGGGGCTGAGGGGACGAGCAGATCATCATCCTCTCGCTTGTCTTCTGGGTGTGTGGGCCTCAAGGGCAGCGGCGACCTGCATCATGGGAGTGTCTGAGGTTGGGGGTGGGGGAGGGCCGGCAGGTGCAGGTGGCGTCTGAAATTGTGCCTTGAAGGAGCCAGGCTGGCAGCTGGGTTTTTGGGGTGGCCTCGAATCAGCCTCTGAGAAGACCAGCCATAGTGTTGGGCTTCTGAAGACTGGAGGGTGGTTCTCAAATTTTCGGGTCCCAGGACATCCCTACAGTATTACATACGATCCAGGACTCCAAGGAGCTTTTGTTTCATGTGGGTTACATCGATAAGCATTTGTCATGTTAGAAATTTAAAACGAGAAACTAATTTGTTCACTTTGAGGCAGCACATGTTAACATAAATTACAAGTATCCAAGTCAGAATAGCCATAGTTTGTCAACTCTGTGAGAAAATAACATTCCATGGGAAAAGCAGCTAGTTCCGTTGGCAACTCAAAACACACAAGTGCCGTTTCTCAAAGACAGCTGTATTTTAGTAGGTACAAAAGTACTTTATGAATATTTTCCATTTTATCACAGTTCTTGAGGATAGAGATTTTTTTTTTAAAGATATATTTAACTTTAGAGAGAGATAACATGTGAGCGGGGGTGGGCGGGTGGCAGGGGGAGGGAGAGAGACTCCTCAAACAGACTCCCTGATGAACACAGGACTGGATCCCAGGACCCTGAGATCATTACCTGAATTGAAATAAAGAGTCAGACACTTTGGAGGGGCGGGTGCCTGCGTGAC